AATACATTCTCTGCAAACAGATGGTGGGCTGAGAAAGCATGAACGCCACGATTACACACTGAGATTATGGCACCTGACAACGCTCTCTCTCTTTCTCTCTCTCTAAACAAAACGCTCGAGTAACTCATGCGACTTCAAATATGCAAGATTGGGTACACCTTATAAAGTGATTCAAACTTGAAAACAGGTATTCTGCAAAATGCAAGTGTGAGAGCAACGAATAAGTACGTCGAAATCAAAAAGTGCAAAAAGATCAGATGGGCTTACCATATTTTTAAAAGCATAGCAAAATTTCTACAAGAAAAGACGGCCAGAAATAAATGGACTTTGACGTGGGTTGAACTCGATAGAAGAAGAAGAAGGCAGGGTAAGCACGGGATTAAGACATTCACAATAATTTGTATACTGAAACTAGATGCAAAGCCGTTGGATTAAGTTAGATGAAAAGTTGCATTAGTGAGAAGCATTTATCTGTTTGATAGATTCTTCATAACATTTTCAGTTATAACTACCAGTGATGTTTTGTTAAGATTCAAATCCTACATGCGCATGTTGTAATTATTTGTGTAATAATCAAGGTTCATTTCTACGTCAAACAAAATTCGAGAAGATATGAAAAGAACACTGGATCAAATGACACTTCGTGCAAGTTATAGTAAACCAGGTGATTTTGTTATCGGATATGTAATAACTTTGAGAACTGATGTGACTAGGCATGCTTCGCAGGACTGACTCGAGATATAGAGCCATTACTGCTTGCCGTACTTATTTCATTGCTCACATGATATAAAATATATGATTTGATATGCTCAGCAAATTTGAAATAAGTACAATCTACGAAGACTAAACTCCAAACTCGGACTATGCACGAGATACTAAAGGTTCAGTAGACTAAAACACGTGCACGTTGCATGCAGAAGACGAAAGCGGATATACAATTTCTAATGCCAACTCAGAAAGCTTAATATATTCGTTAAAGGTGCGGCACGGCAGCGATTGAGCGCCTATTAGCATTCGAGCACGATTGGTGAAGTCCACGTCTAGAATGACGTCAGCTTGGCGTGCTGCCCTAATATGGCGGTGAGTGCAATGACATGCGGGAGCGTAAAGATGCGCAAGCAGGGGAACTGAACGGGTGAGGGGGTGATGTGAAACAAATCGAAATAAGCTTTTCCAATTAGCCGTTTGTGTCCTTGAATCTCGGTCTTAACATTGTTCGAGTTTGTGTTCGATCATCTGCTGAAAGTTTTCTTTGAATAAGGAAAACTCCAAATCATGTTTTTTAAGAAGGGCTAGAACATTTCAGGTGTGTCCTTACTCTGGTTGTACAAAACTACATCTTGCTAAGCTAAGCAAGGAAAAAAATATTCGTTTTTTCAATTACAAACTCGCATAGCTTTTTT